TACATACATCAATAAATATTGTAAAAGGGAGAGAAACTGCTCAAATGTGAAAAAATAACTCAGATAGGGAAAAGAATAAAAGAAAGAAGATAAACGAAGTAAGTTATAAATTTGTATATATACACTTACAATTACTAAGATGATTATACAACTAATTCTATTAATTCTTGAAACAAAACAGATAATATTCATAGAATTAGATCAAATTTGCATGACTATATCTGTCAATTTGAGTAAGATTTTTAAAGATAACTATGCAAAAGAATAAAAAATATTATGTTCCTATCACCTTGTGTTGAAAGCATAGTTTGTTATTTTGGGGGGCTCTTAGTCATAGTTATTTATCTGTTGTTTTGTTTTTCCCCCTAGTAAATAAAGAATAGATGTGCATGTAAAGGCTGATAAATGACTAAAACTTCACCTAAAATTTACAAAACCTGATTTTATTATGTGTGATAGTATGAACAAATGCTCTCAGGAAAACGAACCAGCATGGTAGCCATTGATGATTTCCTATCATTTTGATTCAAAAGCCAATAATGCTATTATGCTTGGTTTTGTTTGATTTTTGTGTACTTTCAATTATTTGATTTCAGTATGTATGAAGATATAGACAGCTATTTTGAAGAACACAAGAGATATTATAGTATAGCCATTATTGATTTCCTAATGTCTGGTCTTAAAAGCATTTAAGGCTCTCATTCCTGTGCTTTGATTCCTATTATACTATTTTGATTCATAGGTACCAGGTATCAAACTCACAACTTTGCGCTTGACAGGCAGCTTAAGGAACTGAACTAAATCCCCAGACCTGTAGTAACTTATTGTGTGTGAAGATATGGAAAATTATTTTGAAGAAAACAAGAGACATTATGGTAGCTTTTGTAGATTTCCTGCTATCTTTTTCTGAAACTCTAGTTAATTGCATTGCTTTACTCTGCTCTGCTTTATTCTGCTTTGTTTTGTTTTGCTTTGTTTTAGTTTCTTTGAAATAAAATTTTTTAAAAACATAAAAAATGTAAAAGTCACAGAGTGTAGAAAACTACTCAATTCAGAAAGAGCCTAAAGAAATATAATACCTAAACACAGCACCTTATTATGAACATTTATTTTTTCCATAAACAACATTATTGAGATAATTAGTGGAGTGTGAATGGGATGTAAGCATTACATTACTTTATCACTATTAACTTTAATATTTATGTTTTGTGATGATTTAAGACAATATTTTTGTAGAATATTCATATTTAGGGATGCTAAGATATCAGCTCAGCAATTTACACCCAGAATTTATTGTTTAGAAAGTTACTTGAGGCCAGGCATGTTGCTGCACACCTGTAATCTCAGTGTTCAGGAGGCTGAGGCAGGAGGATCATCCTGAGTTCAAGGTCAGCATGTGCTCTCTAAGCAAGTTCAAGGCCAATCTGTACTACATAGTGAGATCCTGACTCAAAAAAAGAAAAGGAAAAGTTATTTGAAGTATACATGTAACTTTCCTTAAATTTGTGCTGGTTTCAAAAATTTATGAATGAAAACAAAAAGTGCAATTTGTTTTCCCTTTAATACTATAATACCAAGGTTGACTGAAGTGTGCAATTAGAACTATCTAACAGTATCCGATTTCCCTAGTTGGTTCACTCTCTCACTTCTTGAGATTAGTATTTCACATTTGCTCTCTCCCCAAATCTTCAATTCGTTAAAACTTCCTGTCTTTCTTATTCTAAGTTGATGGCCCTGATACTAACATCAAAGTAAAAGCTATAAAAGGAGAACTTCATCATCTTTTGTGAACAAAGTTCCTTGTCATACTTATACTGACAGATTATATCTCCTACCCTGGTATAATTGACACCTGCTTTTGTTCCCAAGCTCACATTCTTCATTTGCACAGTGAATCTCATTTTTCTTGTATCATGAATATTTTTCCTCTCTACTGGATAATTCCTTCCAGCATACAAGCATTCTCTACTCTGTATCTTTTTTTAAAAAGGAAACATTTCTGCTTCCATCCATTTCTTTGCTTCACTTCACAGAAAATTCCACCAAAGAATCATCTATTCTCCCTTATTCCATCACCTTAATGCTCACTATCTTCAACTTATTACAGTTAGTCTTTTGATTTCAAATCTTCATAGGAATCTCTCACTAAGGTCACCAATAATCTCCATATTAACAAAACTTACTGTTAATTCTTCATTTTACTTGATGTCTCAGCAACATCTATGCAGTTGATCATTCTTTTTTCTGGAAACAAGTGCTTCACTTGGGTTTCACGACAATCATTTTCCCCCTGTATTATGAGCCTCAATCCTTGCTTCAAGATGGATACAATTTAATATATAAGTTGTTTTGTAAAGAAAGGCAGACCTCTGGTGCAAAGCCTTGGCAAATCCAACTTCTATTCCACAACCAGTAAACCATTTTGTTTTTCTTTTATTTCTCTTTATAGATTCTTTAGTTTTCTAATTATAAATATGGCAATGTGCCAAGAATAGTGCTTTTCATTCTTCTTCTCTGGATATCCTCATTTCTTATGAAATTTTGTCTCGTGGTTTTAAATACATTCATAATCTAATGATTACCAAATTTTAACACCATCCTTGAAATATAAATTTACAAGTCTAATGATGTACTAGGTATCATCACTTAAATGCCCTCAAATTTAACATAACTACAACATAATATTTAATTTTAACCTCCAGCCCCACCAAATCTGGTCATCTTTTAGGACCTCCCTTTTCTGCTGCCGGTGCCAACACTTACTTTATTGCTCAGTCTAAAACCTATAGAACTACCCTTGATTATCTTTCTCTGGTACTCCAAATGCAATTCACCAATAACAAATATTGTTAGTTTGACTTTTAAAATATATCCCACATCTTTGGAAGAAGATGTCATAATCCACCTTCCTGTATCTCCCTTCCAAATACTCTAAAAATAATTGAACAGAAAACAAAAGGCGAGTCAAAAATATGAAAACAATGTTTGGAACCTCATGCTTTGAGGGATAACAATTACATGACAACCCACAGTTTTCTTTGTATCTATAAATATCCTAGAATGGGAACCAGGGTGGCCTGCATCCATGAAGTGCAAAAGTAACACCAGTATATTTCTACATTGAGTTTGCATCCAGTCCGAGAATATTATTCAGATGTCCTTGCTCTTGATTGGATGCTATCGTAACCATCTCCTGTAAATGAACCAGCATTCCTGCATCAAAAAAGACTGCAATGCAGTGAATAGCTATCTAGTGTTCTTTTTTTTTTCTTCTTGAAGCCCTAAGATCTCTAAAAGTTTGCAAAAGTGTACTGTACCTTCTAAGGCTTTACTGACACAGTATTTTATTAAACTAAATGACATATCGGCAGATGAGGTAGCATATTTGGGTTTAAACTATAAAATAGGCATTCACAGGCATTTTTTCTCACCATATCTGAAATTTGTAGTTTTACATAATTCATAGGTGCTTTAGAAAACTAACCCCTGTGAATTTGAAACAAGAAAATCACGAAATAAAACCTGATTTATGTTTTTTGTTCTAAATACTTGGAAAAGAGAAACTCAACAGAAATACTGGGGAGCCTCAGTCTTTGCTTTACAGTAGATTGACACTTGAACATCATCTCCCTTGTACAGAGGCAGACTTAATGCACAAAACCTTAACAAGCCTAACTTTTTCTTCACAACCAGAACACCAGCAGGTGTACTGATCTGCCCACAGAAAGAACTGCAAAGTTGTGTTGCACTATACTAACTCCTGATCCACAAACATTACAGTGGCAGCCCGCAGAGCTAACAATAAATCCCCAGCAGATCAACCCAACCTTGCATTTAATGTATGTTGTATTTATAGGCTGACTGGCCAAACTGCTGTGGCAGTATCAAAATGCTGCTCTACCTTTGTCCATTCGGTACCTAGGAACCACCATTGCCTGGTACTACACCTAGTAACATAAGAAGTCTCAGTTCCACTGGCTTCTCTCACAACTCCTATAAGAAAGGATAGCTCAGTGACACCAGATAGCCCAAGAAAGTGCCATATGCCCCAGCAGTTGACATCAATAGTAAATGAGCAAGATGCACAGTAGTGTTAGCGAAAAAAAAGCAGATCAGACTAACATAGAAATGACTCTGAAAATGGTTCAATGATAGTATTATCATTGACCCTGAAACCCTAAAATTAGGCCAGGGTCTGTATTCTAAACCTGAAACAGATGAGTACCTGATTTAAACAAGATCAAGAGATTTCCAAAACATTAACAAAATGTCCAATTTGCAACAGAAAACACATTCTTTATATTAAGAATTAGGAAAATTACAAATTGAGTAATAGAAGACAATTAACTAAACAAAAATATCAAGATAATGTATATTAAGGCTTTAAAACCAATGTCATAAAAATGCTTCAACAAGTACCTAAAATTTGATTGAAGCAAATGGAAAAAGTAGAAGCCATCAGTAAACAAAGGAGTTAAGTTTTTGAAAAGAATCAAATACAAACTACAGAACTATAAAATATAGATGTTTTGTTAAATTACTAGATGTATTCAGTAATTTAATAATTCAGTAATTTCATATCTACTAAAGTAGATACGAAAAAGAATACAATCAGTGAAGTTGAAGACACATCGGTAAAATTTACTGAGTCTTAACAAAGAGAAAAGAGACCATAAAAATAAAAACAACAGACCCTAAAGAATCCAAAGAGCTATAATAAAACACCTAGCATTTGTATGTAACACTCAATTCTGGGAAATAAGAAAAATGTGTTCAAAGAGCAAAAGGAAACAGAAGATAAAAGGAAAATAAATAATTAAACAGTTAATTGGTGATGTCAGAATTGCAAGTCTGGTATTTCCCTTTCTCAAAATGGGAACATAAACTCAACAAATCATATATAGACTAATTCCCTTTAAAAATCCAAAAACCAATTAACAGGTTCTGCATCAGCATCAAGCCATGCACATGGAAGCCAGAGGAAGATTTATGTTACTTACTTGTCATGATTTCTGCCAATCTCAGCACAATGCAATCAGGAGAAAACTCTCAATTCTTGGCTTCTTCCTGGGAGAAAAAAAAAAAAAATACTGAAATATATGTCCCACATGCAGATGTTTAGGGCAAGAAAAGAGTTGAGGAACTGAGATGTGTCTTGCTTGAATCTCAGTATTAGTGGAAAGGGATGCCAAGTTGGGAAATACTAAAAATAAAGGCAAAAGTTTGGACTAGAATGTATTCACTCGTGTAGCACATCCTTCAAGCACAGAATGGAAAAGGAAGGTGAAAGCTCTCAATCCTTAGCTTCTCCTTGGAGAAGAACAGAATTGAAGCATGTGCTCAAAATGCTATCCTTTCCAGGAGCTTCTGAAGAGACTGGTTTACATCTAACTTGCTCCAGAAGGGTGACAAGATTCAAAACACTTTGAGTATCTGTGGGCCTCTAAGAATTATTTAAAGGTCTGGGTTATATGCTGCAGCTCTTCAGGAAATGTAGTAAATGTTTTAATACAGCTCAGTGGTCTCTCCTTGGGGTAAGTGGAGAAAGTGGGCACTTACTATACAATATTCTTTTTTTAAAGGAGTTCCTCACAAAAATTTTTTGTTGTTTCTTTGTCTGTTTGATTTAACAGATTCATAGCACTGGTGAAACCCAGCATACTCAACAAGCTTGGACAGAGAAATTCCAAAGAATATAAACTATCAAATAGACACCAGGGAATAAGAGATTATGAACTGGAAAAAGAAAGAAACTAGTAAATCCATTCTATTCTGGAATTTACATGCACAAGTTTGGAGAGCATCCATAAGAAAGGTCTCAAATGCTCCCAGAATCTCCCATCAGGTTCACTGATGGAAGCCTTTCCCTGATGAAGCCAGTAAAAAGATCTGGAGAAGTGGCCATTTTGCTAAACACAAAGTTATAAAACTCAAGAAGGAATAAGAAATTATAGCCAAAACAATGGAATAAAATAAATCTCAAAAAAAATTAAACAAAAGAAAAAGCAGTATACAAATTGTTTGACACAAAGACCCCAGCACCATATGCTGAGGGCACACTGTGACTAGCTGCAGTCCAGAAGCTCTGAACTATTCCCAGGCAGATGTAGGGACCCAAGGTTTGGAGAATTTGAGCTCCATCCAGCAGAGCACAAGGCTCCAGCACCATAGTTCAAAGGTGCACACTGGCTACCATAAGGATATCGGAGGATTGAGGCTCTCTCCAGCACAGCATTCTAGTGTAATCAATTAGGGGGATACCTGGCCAGCCACATGGTTCCCAGTAGAAAATGAAAAAGTGAAACTGCAAGATGCAGTCTCAGTGCACCAGCCCACCAAGAACAAACCGAAGAGATGTTTAAATGGAAGAAACTGGAAATCACACAACTGAATTTTCTGAAATGATAGCAACTGAAGTACACAAACAACTCCATGAAGCTGTAGAGGAAATCAGATCATAAATAATTCCTCATGTTAAAAAAGTGAAATGACAAACATTATGAAAGAAATGCTGTATACATCTAAATAAGATCTACATAAAAATGGAGGAACACAAAATGAAGAAAACCTTGAATGAACAATATAAAATGGAATTAGAAGGCATGAAACAGATTCTAAGTAGTAATCAGAAATTAAAATTTCTGTTGAAAGTTGGCAAAACCACCTCAATGAACATAAAGATAGATTTTCAGAACTAGAAGACCAGATTGCAGCTACTGAACAGGAAAGGAAAGATTTTTTTTTAAATAACAAGGAATAAGGAAATAACAATTCAACACTTATAAGATGATGCAAAGAAAAGCAATATAAGATTAATATATTTAAATGAAAAAGAAGGGGACAATGCAAATGATATCAAAAGACTATTTACAGAAGTAACAGTTGGAAAGTTTCCAAACATGGGAAAGGAAACTGACATACAGATGAGTGAAGCATATCAAACTCCAACTAGCCATAAACAAAATAAATCTACACCCAGATATATAATAAAAATCCTAGAAATTCAACATAAGAACAGAATATTAAAAGCTGTTAGAGAAAAGAAACAAATTGAATATCAAAGAAAGCCCATTAGAATTACAGCAGACTTCTCAATACAAATAAAGAAATCAAAAAAGTGTGGAGTGAGCCATTTCAAACACTGCAGGACAACTACTTCCAACCCAGAATGATGTACTGTAAAAAGCTATCCTCCAAAATCAATGGAAAAATTAGATACTTCACTGATAAAGTACACGTGAAGAACTTGATAACCACCAAAAGAACCCTGCAAAGAATACTCAAAGATATTCTAGATAGGCATAAAAATGACTACAACTTCAAGAACATCAACAGAAAGAAAATACCACACAATGCAAACAAGTAAGCAGAGTGGAAAGGTAAAGAATCAACAGCAGAGGGGCTGGGGATTTAGCTCAGCAGCATAAGCACCTGCCTTGCAAGCAGGCGGTCGTGAGTTCGATCCCTGGTACCGATAAAAAATGAAAATGAAAAAAGAAAAAGACAAAAACAAAAAGAATCAACAGCAGAAAGATAACATGATAAGCCAATATATAATCACACATAATCATTAATGTAAATGGCTTCAAATTACAATTAAAAGAAATAGACTGAAAAAATGTGTCAAAAAAACAACATCCAAACTTATGTTGTATACAAGAAACCCATCTAACCCAAAAGGAAATTCATAGACTAAAAGTCAAAGGATAGAAAACAATACTTCATGCAAAAGAAACTCCAAAAAAGCAGGAGTATCTTCAAATCAAAACTTCAAATCAAAAATGATCAAAACAGATAAAGAAGGTCACTACATACTGGTGATGGGAAAACTTCAAGAGGAAGAGAAAGCAACCCTAAATATGTATGCACCAAATACGGAGCATGCAATATAAAACAAATATTAGTAAAATGGAAAATCAAATAATCAACAATACAACTATAACAAGAGACATTAATAGCCCATAGACACAAACAGACAGATCAATGAGGCAGAAAATCAGAAAAGAAATAAAAGAACTGAATCAAACTTACAAACAAATGGACTTAACAGACATGTTTAGTGTTCCACCCAACATCAGAATATATATTCTTCTCCATATCGCATAAGACAGTCTCTAAAATAGACCATATAATAGCCCATAAAACATGCTGAAGCAAATGCAAAACATGCATATAATTTGAACATACTGATATAAAACAGGAAATTAATGACAAAAGAAAATGCAAAAACTACATAAACACATGGAAATTAAATGATCACTGGGTCATAAAAGAAATTAAACAATATGTACAAGTAAATGAAAATATAAATGCAAATGATAGGAATATGTGGGATGCAACAAAAGCAGTCCTCAGAGGGAAATTCATTGTGATGAGTGCTCAAATCAAGAAAGAAGAAAAAACATTAAAAAACAAAATGATGTTACATCTCAAATATCTAGAAAAACAAAAGCATGTTAAGACCAAAGCCAAAAGCAGAGAAAAAATTTTAAAGATTAGAGTAGATATTAGTGCAATAAAGACTAAGAAAATACAAAGAATTAACAAATCAAAAAGATGATTCATAAATGAATAAACAAAATCGATAAACCACTAGCCAATCTTATTTTTAAAAAGAAAGAAAGAACTAAAATTCATGCAATGAGGAATGAAAATGTTAAGATCACTACAGATCCTGTGCAAATATAGATGATCATCAATACCTACTTGGAAACCTTTACTCTCATAGGTTTGATAACACAGAAGAAATGGACAAATTCCTAGAAACATATAAATTAACAAAGATGAATCAAGAAGATTTAAAACTGCTAAATAACCCAATTTCAAATGATATTAGAACCTTAACAACAAAGAAAAGCCCAGGTCCTCATGGATTCACTGCTGGAATTCGACAAGTTGTTCAAGGAAGACTTAATGTCAACACTCCTCAAACCCTTCAATGTAATTGAAAGAGAAGCAACTCTCTCTAATCCATTCCTGGAAGGAAGTATTACTGTAATAACAAAACCAGACAAAGTACCAACCAAATAAGAGAACTACAGGCCAATCTCCCTAATGAACATAGGTGAAAAGTTTTCAGTAAGATACCAGTAAGCAGACTGCAGCAAGTTATCAAGAAGATTACACACCATGATCAAGTGGCATACATGCCAGAAATGCAGGGATGGATCAACATATGCAAATCAATAAGCTTAATATATCTTAGCTATAGAGCCAAAGATGATAATCACATGATCATCTCAATAGATGCAGAAAATGCTTTTGGTAAAGTCCAAACACATTCATGACAAGAACTCTATGGAAAATTGGAATAGATGGTCTATAACTCAATCTGGTAAAAGCCATCAATGACAAACCAACAGTCAACATCATATTAAATGGTCAAAATCTGAAAGATTTCACTCTAAAAATCAGAAACAAGACAAGGCTGTGCACTATCAAAACTCTTATTCAAAATAGTATTGGAAATATTAGATGGAGCAATTAGACAAGGAAGAGAAATAAAAGGAGTACAGAAAGGAAAGGAAGACATTAAATTGTCATCCTTTGCAGATGACATGATACAGAAGACCATATATAGGAGACTCTGTATATACATGGTCAATTCTATAGATGCAAAAAATGCTTTTGATAAGGTCCACCATTCATGTATGATAGGCAACTTACAGAAAATTAGAATAGATGGTGTTTCCATCAATATAATAAAGACCATTTATGACAAACCAACAGCCAATACCATACTAAATGGCCAAAAATTGAAGGCCTTTACTTTAAAATCAGGCACAAGACAAGGATGTCCCTCAGCACCACTCCTATTTAATTCGGTACTGGAAATACTGGTCAGAACAATTAGACAAGAGAGAGAAATAAAAGGAGTAAAGATAGGAAAAAAAGAAGTTAAATCATCATTATTTGCAGATGACATGATACTCTACATAGAAGACCCCAAAAACTCCATTGAAAGACTCTTAGATATAATAAATAAATTCAGCAATGTAGCTGGATACAAAATTGATAATCAAAAATCAATTGCATTCCTATACTCTAACAACAAAATCACTGACAGA